TAAGGCAGTTGGGACCACATTCACCAAGCAAAATATTGGTAACACACTACGCCGCAATGGACTGAAATCCTGCAGCACCCGCAAGATCCCCCTGCTCAAGAAGGCACATGTACAGGCCTGTTTAAAGTTTGCCAAAGAACATCAAAATGATTCAGAGAAGGCTTGGGAGAAAGTGCTGTGGTCAGATGAGACCAAAATTGAGCTCTTAGGCATTAACTTGACTCGCCGTGTTTGGAGGGAGTGAAATGACCCCAAAAACACCATCCCTACAGTCAAGCACGGAGGTGGAAACATTATGCTTTGGAATACTTATTTCACTCACTGAAATGCAAATCAATTTCTAACCTTTATATAGTGTTTTTTCTGGATTTTTTGGTTGTTATTCTGTCTCTATATGTTAACATAAACCTACCATAAAATTACAGACCCTTCATTTATTTGTAACTGGGCAAACTTACAAAATCAGCAGGGGATCAAATAAATGTTTGCCCCACTGTATGCCTTCACTCACACACATCATCAACTCCTCTCTTCTCACAGGCATTTTCCCCACTGCATTCAAGCAGGCTCGGGTAACCCCACTGCTTAAAAAAAAAAACACTAGACGCTTCACTTATTGAGAGCTACAGACCCATCTCTCTCCTCCCATTCATAGCAAAATCACTTGAACGCGTTGTGTTCAACCAAGTGTCTTCCTTCCTCTCACAGAACAACCTGCTGGACAACAACCAATCTGGATTCAAAAGTGGCCATTCAACTGAAACCGCCTTGCTTTGGAGATGTGAGGGGATTGGGTCTAGAGGGCATGTGGTAGGGTGGCTGGAGAGGATAATTTCAGACACTTCATCTTCTGAAAGAGGAGAGAAGGAGGGGAGAAGATGGTCAGCTGTGTGAGTGTTTGCTGTGAGTTCCTGGGTGAGTAGAGCCGAGAACTGATTGCTGATGGATGTGGTTTTGTTAGTGAAGTAATTAGCAAAATCGTCAGCAGTTAAAGAGGTGGTGGAGGGGGACAAAGAGAGTATTGAATGTTTTGAAGAGTTTGCGTGTGTCTGATGCGTTGTTGATCTTGTTGTGGATAAAGGCCGTTTTGGCAGCGTCAACTTTGGTGGAAAATGAAGATAGCAGTGAGTGATACCTGCTGAGATCAGCAGAGTCTTTTGATTTGCGCCATTTTCTCTCCACTGCCCTGAGTTTAGTCCGATGCTCATGGATGACATCGGTTAACCAATGGTTGGAAGGAGTTGCACGTGCTGGTCTGGAGGAAATTGGACAGATATTGTCTAGGCAGCTAGTTAGGGTAGTACATAATGTATTTTTAACACAATTCACATCTAATGGTGAGAAATGTGTGGGGGTGGGAAGATAGGATGATATCACGGTGAAAAGTCGAGAAGGAGAAAGAGACCTCAGATTTCATCTAAACGAAACTGGCAGAGGGGTTGGTGGTGTGGAAGAAGGTGATGTAGATTAAAAGTAATAATGAAATGATCCAAAACATGCAAGGGTTTGACCAAGATGTTATAGGTGATACAATTGCGTGTAAAGATGAGGTCGAGCTGGTAATTTATGGTACCTGTGGTGTTGAGCCACTGAAGTTCGATAGAGGTTAGGAGAGAGTGGAAGTCAACAGCAAATGGCTTGTCAAGGTGGATGTTGAAGTCACCAAGAAGTACCAGCGAGCTGCCATTCTCAGAGAATGAGGACAGCAGCATGTCCAGTTCTTCTAGAAAGTTGCCCAGCTGACCTGGAGGGCGATAAATAACTACAGTACAATGTGGATTTTTACAGGGAGTGTAACTGTAACGGCATGAAATTCAAAACAAGTGTTGTTGATGTTATACGTGTATGGGAGGTACATGGCAGTACTCCCACCTCTCCCAACCTGACGGGGGATGTGGATGAAAGATAAGTTGTTGGAAAGAGCAACAGGGGTTGCTGTGTCTTCAGGTTTAATCCAGGTCTCAGTCAGGCCTAAGAGACTTAGTTCTGACTGAGTAGCAAAGGCTGGAATAAAGTCAGCTTTGTTGACAGCTGACTGACAATTCCAGAGACCCATAGAACAAGAAAAAGGTTCAATAGAAGAAGTGCGGATAGGAGACAGGTTAGCATGATTGCACATTTGCCACGTAAGCACAAATTAACAGGTAGCAAAAAGTCTATTTGTAATTTCTAATTACAGCCAACGGCAAACAACATGCACAATCAGCATAAACTTTTTAAATAAAATAAGCAGTAAACGAATGAATCCTCCCAACTAGCAGATATTTACTCTAAACGACAGTAACAGAAAACTGGTATTAAGCAAAACACTTATGCGCTCTTGCCGTGTCCACAGTCAGCTCACTATGCATTTAATGGATAATTTTTTATTTTTTTTATTTATTTAGTCATTTAGCAGACGCTTTTTACATACACATTTATAAATTCAATATATATATTATTTCATTTCCAATTAGTTTGTTGAAGTATTAAAATAACTCAAATTAAATAAAACTAAAACTTAATAAAAGACCTATACAGACATATAATAATGATTTATTATAATTATGATTATATAATGATTTATTATAATAAAATAATAATTATTGGATAATAAACATTAAAAAAAATATTTCACTGATTATATATAATTAAAAAAAAATGTACAATTAAAATATTTTACGTTTAATCTCTCCTGCTGTCATGAAGCAGTCTGGCGACATGACAAAGAAAGGTGATCCTGATTGGTCCTCTTGTGTGCATTCAAAATGCCGTTCGGCTCACAGGTGGGGCAGTTGTGGCCTAATGGATAGAGAGTCGGACTTGTAACCTGAAGGTCGCGGGTTGGAGTCTCAGGTCTGGCAGGGATTGTAGGTGGGGGAGGTGAATATCCAGCGAATATCCATCCATTGGATGGGTTAAATGCAGAGCACAAGTTCTAAATATGGGACACCGTACTTGGCCACATGTCCTTTCCTTTCCTTTAGATAGAACCTTATAGAACCATGTAAGAGTTCGACTTTGTAGATAGAACCTTTTTGTTTTCTAAATAAAAAGTCCTAAAATGTACACAACTTAGAAAAAAAAAAAAATCACATAATGTAAATAAGTTGTCAAAGAATAAGAATATGTGAATAACTCAATTTTGAAAAAAAAAAAGTCAGATAGAATCTTATAATTCCAAGGTGACGATTTGACTCCAAGAGTCAAAGCAGTAGTTTATGAGAATTTTTCTACAAAAAAAATGTAAACTAGTTTGTCCGTTAGGCCCAACTGAATAAGAATATTTAAAATGTAAGATTAGATGTTTTATCAGGCTATTATTATTTTTTACATTTAGATACCTATGTATGTCAAAAGGCCATGTGACAGTAAATACATTGCGAGTTCAGGGTTTTCATCTTGAAGTTTTGCTTAAAATAAATATCTACTAAAAACAAACAAGCAATGTACAGCAAATAAACAAAATATGAGCAGAAAGGAAAGTTAACTAGTAATTTCAAAGTTTTAGTTGCCTTTCCTTGCCATGTACAAATCATTTTCCCAACTTTTTTCTGCAGTGTTTTAGCAAAGGTATCAAAAACTATTTGCTGCGCACTGTGCCTCTGTTGTTAAAATAACATCTGTAGTTTTTGTAAAGCTTTATGTCTTTAGCGGGGGAGAGAAGCAATGATATATGAATGAATATATTAGAGGATATAACTTGGTGTGTACAGCTCTGTCATTTTGACATGCTGCTGACTTTAAACTGTAGAAATGGTCTCCCAGTCCGGTTGGAACCAAGCCAGGATCCAGAACCAGACCGTAGTCTGCTATTTGAGGACCCATGGATTAGATCTTGGACTAGATCTAGAAATTGCTTGCCATTTTTGAATGCAGTATGCATTACAAAGTCAGTGAACAGAATGGCAGTGGAACCAGTTTTAAATGGCAAGGTTTCCTGTGGAATATATTCCCATGTATTAGACCAACCTCTTGTGCAGTGTTTTGTCTTTACAGATTGATATCAAATGCTTTGCTTTCAGTGCTTTGTGGTACAAATTTACACAATACATTGTTGTCCACTGTCATCTGTATACAGTTGAATATAACACGTCACTAGAACAAAGTACTGTAAGTCCATAACTGTAAGTCCATAACACTGTGTCAAACAGCCGGGTAGGCAGTCCTAACAGCAGCCAGTCCAAAAGGGCAGAAAGAATCCAAAAGTCTGATGAGGAGAGGAATCAGAAGCCGTGCACACAGACAACAGTGCATAGACAGCCAGCTCAAGACAGAAGTCAGCAACATGCAAGGGTCAGTAACCAGTGAGCAGTCCAAACTGGTGGTCAGAGCCAAGAGGAAGTTAGAACAGCAACCAGACATGTAATCAAGGAACAATACTGGAGAGGGCAGACTGAAGTCAGGTGAATGCTGGCAGCACAGACTCCACTGTAAAGACAGTGGAAAATACACAAAGACAATACCACAAACACTCAGGCACAATTTGTGCTGTCTAGCTCTCAGCCTTCAGTCATGTCTATTTATTGGTTTTGTCTTTGTGTACTTTTGCAACATACACAATCCAGCAAACACAAGAGGAAAAGAAGCACAATATAGAGAGGAAAGCATATGAGGAACAGGTAAGTGCAACTGCTCAAGCAAAGACTAGACACATACTAAATGAGGGGGCGTGGTAAAGGGAAAACAAGGAGGCAGGACAAGAGGAGTCAATACATGGCCAACACAAAGACAAAGCTAGGTGCTCTAACACAAGACAAACATAAATACTCGAAATAAGGACAAAATGTGCAGGACTGCCAAAGCTAATAATGTGGGGGTTTTTTTCATTTATCTCTGTATCTACAATAGGAAAGGCATCATTTTCCATGTATCTGCATATTTTTGAGTTGTCTTTTTTACTGCAATCAAAGATGTGATTCAGCACTGAAAGCTGAGTAGCTTTAATCATAGTGTTTTTTTAAGGATGCATACTGATATGTAGAGAACAATGTAATAAATAACTTTTTTTTTCTTTTCAGGAAAGGTGACTATGAGGACTGAGACAGGGACTGGGACTGAGGTGACACCCCAACATAAGGGTACTGAAGTTACCATTCCAGAGTCAGACTCAGATGGTAAAATGGCGAAAGAGGTAGGGAATTGTTTTAAATGTCCAACTAATATTTTAAACATTTATTTTTTCTTTGAAAATTTGTACATCAAATCAAAGTCAGTGTAGTCAACCAACATGCAGGAAACCATTTGACAAGAAAACCATAACACAGATGACATGACAAAGAGTACCCACTCCTGTAGACTCGCATGACTGCCTAATTGACACAGTTTTTTCAACAACAAAAAAAAAGAAAGAAAGAAAATATTTTAGTGATTAACAGTTGTGAAAAAAATATAATGTAATATAAACTGATATAATGTAATATAAACTGATAATATATACTGATTATAGGATATTAAGCCTCATGATGACTCTGGAGATGTACATGATGCATCAGACAGAACAACATCCAACAAGAGCCCAAGATCCCCTCAGAAAGGCTCCAAACGCTTCAAGACTGTTCCCTTTAAAGTCACACTTTTGGACAGTTCTATTTATGAAGAGAACATTGAGGTAAGTGAAAGAGTTGTTTCAGTGGTGTCCGCACGACAGTTGTCTTTATGCCTCATGTGAAGCACTAAGAACCCTTTAATAAACTCATAAATCAACTGTTTTTGTCACTGACAACTTTGACTGGAATAATTTCTAAACTGAAACTACCATAGGTTATTATAAAATACACTTTCCCTCACAGGGATGTTTTAGTATGTACAAACTCAGTTTGAAAATACATTGAAAACCTTTTTGGAAAAACTCCAAAAAACATTTTGGCAAGTTTCTGGCTGCCGGTCTAGAAAGCTCCTCACCTCACGGCTGGCGGTGATTCGGAGCAGATAGAGTCTGTCTCGTGTGGTAATATTGGCAACAGTTTGCAAATGAAAGTCAATGTCTTTTAAGTAGGCGTGCACATCGTGGCCTCTTGCAGGGTTAGGAGTGAAAGTGGGAATGTTTCTAGCCAGCTTATCCAATCCTTTAGGTGACACACCGTGACTGGAAGACAGCCTTTGAAAAGGCTCCCACCCCCTTGATGCTGCTGGGGGTTCTGGGATGCTGGCAGGTGAGGGTCTCTTAAGCCATAAAACCCCAAAGATCATGCATGATTCTACGCAGACGCTACATGCAATAAAAACAAGAAACAAGATTTTGAACCTTTCTCTATTCTCTTAAACCTTTGTTTAACTGACAAAAGTATAAAGAAAATATTTCCATTTCCACTGTGCTTTGTAAATATGAAAACTTTTTAGAGTCTGATGTCTTCAAAACACTTAAAGAAAATTGGAACATATAACATTTATTTATACAATATAGTGTTTATACAGTACAGATTATTTCAAGGCAGCTTCACAGTATTACAGTTTCTTATTTGCTTTGGTACTATTTTCACAAGCAACTGTTACATTTTCAAAACTCTGAGTACTAATATCACAACAGATCATCAAAAGTGCAGTTTTTTCAAACATTTCAGTGTATTTTCAATTGTCTTAGTACAATACACACAATCACAAAGTATCCTTTTCACTACACAAAATAATTGTTTCATCTATATAAATGTTTCATTCACAGTAACTGACTTTCATAAAGCTCTTACTATTTGTCTATTATTTAATCTAACTCATCTTAATGGTTAATCAGTGAATCATTTGGTGCATTTATAGATATCGTTTCTAAAGAACTTGTTGGCAATTCAGGGATAACGAAATGTAATGAATTTTTTTTGCACTATAAGTGATTTATCTTAGATGACAACCACTATTGTGTGTGTGTGTGTGTGTGTGTGTGTGCAAAGCAAAACTTGACAAAATCACCAAAAACCTCCCTTTGAGGACGTCCTCATTTGTAAAACTGTGTGTTTTGCAATTTGTGAACATACGGCGGGATACAAGGGAGAGAAATTAATCAAAGATGTATCAGTAGAAGGGAGACAGATGGCATCAAATACAGCATTTTACATTACATTATGCCATGTGATACTGTATAGTCTTTACCATGGTAGAGACTGCTCATTACTATAACTCACCTTTCATCTGATGTCCAGTTACAGTCATATGTCATACTGCATTGACAATAAACTTTGTTCTAGCACCAAACCTTATGGCCATGTCATACCTTCATCACACCTTTTGATACAGTAACACGCTGTATAAATACTTTTACAAACATTATGGATTTTATGTGAGTTATGCAAGCTAGGTAATGTAAGTGTATTTTCTAACATGACAGTTATTGCCTCTATTACTAATTATTTCAGCAACAAAGGTGATTTGAAACAAGTATCTTGCATTGTTTGCTCTTGAATTAACTGATTGTTAAAAGTACTAAGTTGAAAGAAGATATTACTGTTGTGTTTTGGTGATTAAACCAAATGTCCTCAACACTCAGTGCGTGCGTGATTTCGCGGTGATGACTCGCTCTTTATAATCCTCAACATCAGCGATTTCATTCTCCAAATCATCGGTGTCCGTCCCTTCCTCGATTCTGACATCCAACTCCAGCAGCATTTCCTCTTTTCCAGATAACAGGGCTAACAGTTCACGTAGTCAGTAAATGACTGGATCTTCTTTGTCTACTTCTGTTTCGATATCTTGTAAAAGTCTCGTTGTGGAAGCGAGTACAGCTCTCCATTTTCTGAGTAGTCTTTCAAGTCGCTCCACCATTTCGGGTGTTGTTTGCTAGTTTCCTGGGTTTCGGCACCAGACGCTTTGTCGTGACTTCTTCACTAAACAAGCAATAATGACTCGTGACGACTTGAATTAAAAACAAAAGAACTGATTTATTGGAGTTTCAGGTTTTTTACAGGGATGAATTCACTTTTGCAGTGCACACACACAACGTTACTCAGTCAGTTCACTTCTTCTCAGCGAACTCTATATCTGAACAGCATTATGGGTAATGTTTCCTAAAGGGGAAGAGCCAAATAAATTACTATATAAACTGTTTCTGTTCTTATTATTGAAAACAATGAATTAAACATTATACTAAGCATTTATGACTAATATTAATCTAATTTAAGTCACAACAGGTACATTTATTGTAGAAATGCTTATGCATTTTTGTAAAATAATATATGTGACAAGCAACTTGTACTGATGGGGTAGGAGGGTGGAATTAATCTCTGATCAGGACCAAATTATCAAATAAACCAGTGTCAAAATATATTATAAACATGTTTATTGTTTGCACTGTCTGCTAATTGCATAATTTATATGTATGTTTTACCCCTTCCACATTTGTGTTTTGTTATTTTTGCAGAAACAGTGTAAGGGGCAGGTTCTCCTGGACCTGGTGTGTGAACATCTAAACTTGTTGGAAAAGGACTATTTCGGCTTGACCTTCAGTGATTCTGACAGCCAAAAGGTCAGAGAGCTATTCCAAATGCTTCTATCATTAAATTTCAGACATATTTCAGTTTTATCCCACAGAACAGAAGACTCACAAATAATATCTCTGCAAGATCACTTGTATCACAATTAAATGAGATGTAAGCATAGAATTAATAATAATAATAATAATAATAATAATTTGCAGATAGTTAAGGAAAATGAACTTAATTCAAGATTCAAGCTAACATCTGAAGACTCAAGCAGCTACTTTGTTGTCTCACTCTCCAGTCGGTCATCAGTCTATGGAAGAAAAATAATGACAAATGTCTTTGAAACAAAAAAAAGCATGCTGAATTGCACCAAATGAAAAAATAATGCTCTGCATAAACAATGCTTGCATTTGAATGCCTTGTATTTTCAGGGCTTGCATTTTTAGGGGCTGAAATTTGACATAATTGTTTATTTAAACTGTGAATATTTGAATTCAAAACATTTCACACACATTATTGAATTAAAAATTTGTTAAAATTCGGCAGAAATTTCAGCATTTCACATCCGGGAAGCGCAGGAATAGCAGTAGAGTATCGATGCATGATCTCCGTCTGCTGTTAGTTGCTCACCTGCAGGAGGTGCAAGCAGCTGTTGATGAAGACCAAAGCAACAGGTGGATAAAGTCATTCATTTAAAAAAACTGATTTGTAGCAATGGAGCAAGGGTACATAGAAGTTATGATGATCAGGGCCAGTATGTATATGTGGAAAAGCTGACTGTGTGTACGTTTAATTCAACATCTTTGCTGTTACTCGTTTCCCCGTGTAGCAGCTTTCTCTACCGCAAAGGAGATTATAATGCTATTTTACCCGACATTGATGTACATTACATCTGAAGAGACATATATTGTATTCAGTTGCTTAGTTTCCTTAACTATGGCTTGTGTGACACTGGGCTGTAATATTGGGGTTTCCCTCATACATCTCACTCCAGGATTCCCCAACATTGCCTAAAGGCTGATTTATACTAATTTATACTGATTTATACTTACGGCCTCTATGCCGTAGGCTATGTGTCAGTTTTCATTTATACTTCTGTGTCGTTGTCCGCGTCGACATGCAGTTACACATTGAGACCGCTAGTTTGCAGTGTCCATGGCATGTTTCTGGTGTAACCCCTATTATCAAGGCAAAAGCCAAAGAAGAAGCAGCTTGACGGAGAAGCATCAGCAGTGACGGCGGTAAATAAATATCCAAGAACAGATAATGTATTTAAAACTACAAAAAGGAGATGACAACTGAACAGGAGAAGATGGCATTCTTTCAGTCTCCACAAGGAATTGTACTATGGCAGAACAACATTGTTTGTTGTGGACAACTAAGTGATGTATGTTGTATAATAAATAAGACACTTTTTCTTTGCTTTGTTTTATTTTAAATAAGAAGGTGTAACATTAAAGTATATTAAAATGCAAAAAAACACACAAAACTGAAATACATACGGAGGGAGGGGTTCTAGCAGACCAATCACAGCGCTTGCGGTCCACATAGAATTGACTCGCCTTTACATTTTTACATTTGTGCGTGCTACACGTTGGCGTAGCTACGGTGTAGGTTCGACGCAGAAGTATAAATTGGGCTTAACATGAAAAATGCTAAACGCGCCTCAGTGAACTAATACAGCGATATAAAAAAGACCTCAGATCTCAGAATACACCTGATGCAAACTATATACAGGTAAGCAAATGAGGTCAGAAGAACGCAACAAAATGCAACATTTTCTTTAAATGCTTTTCTAGCACGTTGAGCTGCTGGATTCAGCTGAGCTTAAATTCCTGTCTGCTAAGACAGCGCTCCTGACCGCGCTCACTTCCATCAAGAGGGTCGGGGACCTCCAAGCATTTTCGGTGAGCGAAGAGTGCCTTGTGTTTGGGCCGGCCTACTCTCACGTTGTCCTGAGACCCCGGCCTGGATACGTGCCCAAGGTTCCCACCACGCCTTTTCGCGAGGTGAACCTGCAAGCACTGCCCTCGGAGGAGACAGATCTAGCCTTAGTGTTGCTGTGTCCCGTAAGAGTGTTGCAAATATATGTGGACCGCACTTGGAGTTTCAGAAGCTCTGAGCAGCTCTTGTCTGATATGGAGGACTTGACATAAGTCGTAACTTAATATAATAACTGCGTACTGCAAGTGAATGATGCACTGTAGTGCCATCCTAAACAGGAACCCTCTAACACTAGCGCTCTCTTTTCTTTTTCTATTCCATCTACTTGTTTACTTTTTATTTATTTTGACCCTCTAACTGTCACGCCCTTGGACTGCCCCTGTGTTCCTGTGTTGCGTTTTGCTCCCAATGTGCTCCGTGACCCAGTTTCTCCCTTGTTGATTATGTTTATTGATTTCAGGTGTTTCTCGTTGAGTCCCTCGTTTAGTTATGTATTTAAAGAGTGTTCTGTTCCTTGGTTACTTACGTCATTCAATGTCTCCTGCGATCCCAATGGTCCCTGCCTTTTTGTTTATTAAAGTCTGTTTGTTTGGGTTTACACCTGCGTCTCCTCGTCTCCTCATTCCGTGCTCTAAAGGGTTTTGAAAGAACACCAGACAAACCCACATACAGTAAGCGGTGCCCCTTCTCCCTGTTTTGGTTTCTGTTTTTGAAAGTTTTTCTTTTCCCGTTCCCTGTGGGTATGGAAACCACCGCAAGATTCGCTGCCTTAACCCGTAAGGACCTTCCTTTTGTGGAGTATGCCAGGGAATTCTGTGGGCTCGCCGTCTTAACGGCATTGGACGATGCCACACTGAATTCTTTGTGCCTGGAGAGCATCCGGCCCCGATCCAGAACCGCTCCGTTGTCAAGCCCGCCAGCCACTGCACTCTTAAGCCCGCCGGCCGCTCCATCATCAAGTCCGTTGGCCGCTCCACTTTCAAGCCTGCCGGCCGATTCACTCCCAAGCCCTCAGCTGACAGCAGCTGAGTCTCCCTCAGTCTCCCTCAACTCAAACCAAAGGAGGAATCTGAGGAGGAAAAGACTGTTAGCTCGAGCCCCTGAGTCAGCTCCAGTGTCGGCTCCAGCCCCTGAGTCCGCTCCAGTGTCGGCTTCAGCCCCGGAATCCGCTCAAGTGTCGGCTCCAGCCCCTGAGTCCGCTCTAGTGTCAGCTCCAGCCCCTGAGCTTGCTCCAGTGTGGGCTCCTGTTCCCAAGTTAAGCCCAGAGAGGCTCCTGTTCCCACGTCCAGCCCAGAGAGGGCTGTGGTTCCCACGTCCATTCCAGAGAGGGCTCCTGTTCCCAAGTTAAGCCCAGAGAGGGCCTCAGAACCCGAAATTTCCGCCAAGGAATTTTGGGTGGGGGGGGGCTATAGGGCTTCGGCCGTAGTGGCCGGACCGAGTGCCGAGGCCAAGGCGGGAGCCCGCTCCGCCATGGCCCCCTGAACTGCCTACTCCGCCATGGCCCCCTGAACTGCCTACTCCGCCATGGCTCCCCGAGCCCCGTTAGAAGTTATGAGGCGCGAGGACGCGCCTTCCGGGAGGGGGAGGTAATGTCACGCCCTTGGACTGCCCCTGTGTTCCTGTGTTGTGTTTTGCTCCCAATGTGCTCCATGACCCAGTTTCTCCCTTGTTGATTATGTTTATTGATTTCAGGTTTTTCTCATTGAGTCCCTCGTTTAGTCACGTATTTAAAGAGTGTTATGTTCCTTGGTTCCTTTGTTCCGGTGTCTTACGTCATTCAATGTCTCCTGCGATCCCAATGTTCCCTGCCTTTTTGTTTATTAAAGTCTGTTTGTTTGAGTTTACTTCTGCGTCTCCTCATTCCGAGCTCCGAAGGGTTGTGACACTAGCACTTGCACTCTCTATTCTATTTCTATTCTACTACTTGTTTCCTTTTTAATTAAAAAAATTAACCCTCTAACACTAGCGTTCTCTTTTCTTTTTCTATTCCATCTACTTGTTTTCTTTTTATTTATAATAAAAAATTACCCTCTAACGCTTGCATTTTCTACTCTTTTTCTATTCTCTTGACTTGTTTTCTTTATATTTATTTTAAAAAATGACCCTCTAACACTAGCATTCTCTTTTCTTTTTCTATTCTATCTGCTTGTTTTCTTTTTATTTATCATAAAAAAACAAACAAAAAACAAACAAACAAAAAACCCTTATGTGGTGCTACATATGTTAGACTAACCAAGACTTGTCACAGCACTTACATATTATTGCTCTTTTGTTGGTTTTGATAGCTTCTATTGTCCTCATTTGTAAGTCGCTTTGGGTAAAAGCGTCTGCTAAATGACTAAATGTAAATGTACTAGTAGTAGTAGTAGTAATAAAAATAATAATAACAATAAAGACAGGTTTGTGTTCTTCATCATATCACACAAGGAATTGAAACACTAAACTCTATGCAAACCTGTAATAAGGAATAAGGAATTTTAACTATCCCCAGACTTTTGTGTAAGGTGTAGACTTAACATTAGACATTAAAAATGAAAAAAAATATTCAGTGGTTCAAAACAGCTTTTTCTATACATGCAAATCTGAACAAATGATAGAAAATACATCAATGAGGGATTGGCTCCGGGACAGAGTAAGACAGAGATAAATATTTTGTCTTACCAGGTTTAATCATATCTTACAAGGTTTAAAACATTTAAATAGACAAATCAAATAGTAGACAATGTGTATGATTCAGTATCTTAGTTAATAACTCTTTGCCAGCTCTGATTTCTACGAGACTGATTGGCATTGATTTGTGATTGTACTGTCCTGGCTCATTTGTTTATCCCGGAAACTTGATAAGTGACTGTGTCAAATATTTTTCCTATTATTAGTAGAATTCATTATTTGTTTTGAAGCCATTATCCATGTCTTTCAGAATAAGATATTGGGCTTCAGACCCATCCCTAATTATAATGTTATTACTGTTAGTTCTCCCCTCAGTGTCTGGATCTCCACCAAGATTGATCTCAAATTCTTCTGCCATGAAATTCTGGAATTTCTGCGCATTATAGCGTTTCTATATTGTGAGTTCCTGCACAGAAGAGACTTTCCTCCC